TTTTATTAAAATACTTTTTTAATATTTATAATTTATATTAAAAAAAACTACAAATAAAACCTTATAAAGGCTTTTTACCCTTTTTTAATAAAATTTTATGCTTTATTTTACTAGTTAAAAGTTAAGTAGCTTTTTTTTTAAAAAAACTTTATTTTAATAAATATATTAAGGTGGTAAAACTATTTTTACTTTTTTTTTAGTTTTTTTTAATTAATAAAGTATTATAAGTACTAGTTCCTTGCGCATAGTTTTTATAAACTTTTATAATATTTTAATTTTAATAAAAGGTATATAGTTTTGCTAAGTCTATTTTACTATAATAAGGTAAAGGTTTAAATTTACTTTAATTATTTAGGAATGTTTTAGGACTGCTTAATAATTTTTATAAATAAGATTAATAATATAATATACTAAGTTAAATATTTTTATAACTTTTTTTAAATTATAAACCTAAGTACGGGCTTGTAAATACCTATAATAAAAAGTAAAGGTATTATTAATATACTAAATTAATTAAATTATATAATTAGTATTTATTTTAATTTCTTACTTTTATAAATATTAAACTAAAATAAAATTAGTATTAGCCCTAGTATTAAGTAGTACCTTAAACTATTAATTTACCTTATTTTTTTATATTTTAAGATTTGCAAGAATAAGAAAAGTAGTCTTTTTTTTAAATTATATAACTTTAATAACTTAGGACTAGTGGATTATTATTTATTTTTTACTAGTTTTTTTTTAGGCTTTTTTTTATTTAAACAGGCCTTTAATAAGTGGCCTAATTTACTATAATTAAAATAAAACCCTTTTTTTTATAACGCTTTTTTTTTAAAAAAAAAGCAAGTTACTGCTTTTTTTCTTACCTTTTTTTTTCTTTTTTTTAAAAAAGCTACTTTGCTAATATTCTAGTTTTATTTTAAGTTATTTTTATTTTTTTTATTTTTAAAGTTAGAACTAGCTTTAAACTTTTTTTCTTTTTAATTTTTAAGGCCTTATTATATTTTAAAATAAACTTTATATAAATTATTACTATATTTATGCTAATAAAAGTTTTTAGGGGGTTTTTTAACTTTTTTAAGTGTAAATAAATATTTTTATTATATATTTTAGTAAAAATTTATGCCCTAAACTTTAGATTATTAAAGTATAAATTTAATTTTATAAAGCAGAGTCTCCCTAGGAAGTAATATTTTAAGTGCCTTATTATTTAATTAAAAGCCTTTAAGCAGTGTAGTAACCTTAGTTTATAACTAGGTTAACCTACATGCGCATAAAATTTTTAAAATTTACCTAAGTTAGGTTATTATTTTAAAATTTAGCTTAACCTTTTTAATAACTATAAGTATTTTTTAAAGCTTTTTAAATAGTAAACATAATTTTTTTATTATTTATCTAAAATTATTTAGGGGCGCTATAAAAGTAATTTTTTAAATTTTTAAACTAGATTTTAAGCTTTATTATATCCCTTTTTTTTAAAAACTTAATTTTTTTAAACTTAATCTTAGGCTCTTAAAAAGCCTTATTTTTTTTTAATAATAATTATAAATTTTTATAGCCTTGTTTTACTTTTTCTTACTTTAACATAGTATTTTTTAAATAGCTTTTTTATTACTAATAATACTTTTAAATTTTTTAAAACTAGACTTACTTATAGTAGTACTAAATTTTAATAATAAAGTAGTTTTAAAATAATAGCTTAACTTATTATTTAAGCTTAACTTTAAACTAAAGCTAAAAGGATTATTAAAGTTAAATATTTTTAAAGCTTAATATAAAGGTTAATAAGATAGTTAATATAAGGGTTAATAAAAAATTAATATAAAGGCTAGTAAACTAATATTACTTTACTTTTAAATTATAAAAATAACTTTTTTTTATTTTTTTTAAAGTATTTTAATTTTAACATGTGGTATTAATTATAATATAATTAAAAAATAAATAGCCTAGGCATAATAGCTTTAAATTATTCCTTTTTTAAAATAGCTTTAATTATAATAAATTTTAGTTTAATAAATTATAATAATAATATAAAAAAATAAAATAAAGGGTGTATCTTGCCCTACGCCTTATTAAATAAATAATTTAAATTATTTAAGTTAGGTTTTTTTATTTAATTATTTTTAATAATAATAAAATTCTTAAGCATGGGTAAAAAAAAACACTTTTTTAATTATTTAAGTTTAAGTTTTAAAAACCTTAACTAAAACGCCTGCGGACTACTTTTGCTTATTTTTTAAAAATTTAATTTAAAATATTATTATTAAAAAAGTTTAAAAAGTAATAGGTGCAAGTAACTTTAACTATAAAATTAATAAGTTTTAAAAATTTTTATTAATAATAAAAATATTAATAAAAAAATTTAATTAATAAAAATAACGTATTTTAAACCTTATTAAATAATATTAAAAAACTTACTTAAAAATTTTAAAAAAAAGCTAGCCTTAAAACTATTTTTATAAATTTTTAAGCTATGCTTAAGCTATTTTTAATTAAAAAGTAAATATAAATTTAAATACTTTATATATAGGTTTTTATTTTAGCTTATATTTAAGGCCTACTTTAACCTTGCTTAACTAATAGCTAAAACCCTAAATATTAATAACCTAGTTAAGTTATATAACTTAATATAATAATAAAATATACTAAGCCCTTGGCGGCCTAAGGCCAAAGCTTAAGTTACCTAAAGTATTAACTCTAGACTAACAGTGGATTAGCTCCAGTAATATTAAATAAAAAAATATTGGCCCTGACAGCTAAAAAGCTAGCCATAAAAAAGTTTAAATAATAATAATAAGTATTATTAATAATAAAGGTAGTAATTTTTAGTAATAGCTTTAAGTAAATATATTAAGGGGTTTATTATATAAACTATAACTTTATAATATATTATAAATAACACCTTTAGGCATAAAAATTATTAATAATTAATGCCTAATCCTATATATATAATATTAAGGCCATAAGCGTGCTTTAAAAATTAAAGGTAGTAATTAAAAAACTTTTTAAAGTTTTTATTTACTAGCTTTATATAAATAATACTTTAATAATTTAGTGCGCGCGTGAATAGCCTTTATTATTTTTTAATTAAGCTTTTTAAGCGCTATATTAACTTATAAATTAATATATTATTTACTTATAATAATTTCCCGGCCATATAAATATTAAAGGTAATAAACTAATTAATAAGCTAGCTAATAAAGCAGCCTTTATAAATATATAGCCCTTAAATATTAATTTTTTTAAGATATAACCTACCGCGAGCAAGATATATAACCTATATAAATAAATATACTAAGCTACTTAAGCTAAGTAATAAAAAGGTATTTTTATAAAGTTATTAATTTAATATAAATAATAACTTATTATAAAGTTAAAATAGTACTAGGTTAAATTAAAACTTAAGCTTATATTAAAGCGCCTAGTTTTATATTATTAGCTAGTATTAAAATTATTATATAATAATTTTAAGTAATATTATAAGTATTTTTAATATAAAAATATAAAGCTTACTTACTTTTATAAAATAAGTAAAAGCCTTAAATATTTAATTTTTTATTAATATATTAAAAAATAGTTTTTATAATAGCCCTAGCAATTAATAATACCTTTAATAAATAAGATTAAAGCCTTAAAATACCTTTATAAATTAAAACCTAAAAACTTTATATTTTTACTTAAAATTATAAACTTTTATTAATTTATTTACCCCTGCTAGAAATTTTAACTTTTAGCCCTTTAAAAATACTTAGGCTAGGCGCCTAGTAATTTTTTAACTTTTTAATTTTTTTTTTATTATATATTTTTTTTTATTTTAAACACCCTTTTTTTATATAACTAGCTTTAAATATATATATATTTTTTTATAAAGGGGCTGGCCCCTGCATCCTATAATATTTAAATTATTAAATATATAATAACTAATACTTATTAATAGCTATATATAAAAATAATAAGTAAAAAACAGGCATACTACTTATAAGCTTTAGTAAAAGTTACTTTTTAAAATAAAAAGCCTTTTTATATATAAACTTATTTAAATAAGCTACTTACCCTGCGGTGGCATGCCCCTATACCCCAAGGAAGGTCTGGAACGTTAGGCGTACGCCTAGCGATCCCCGGGGCGTTAAATATCACTACTACTACTACTACTACTACTCCACTAAAACACGCCCTATACCCCTCCAGGGCAAGGGGCAGTAGCTTTGGCAAGAAGCCATCACTGCACTGGACTTCTCGCCTTCAGTGCATAAAACTTTGAATCGATTGGATATTGGAGCCCATAAGCCCATATTATGATGTCTGGGGGCGGAATTGTGCCACCACACCGCAAGTCGCGGGCACCGTGCGCTTTCGAGAATCCGGCCGGCGCTTCAATGTGTAAACAAGGGCTTGGTGAAGTCTACCTATAGAGAATGTACTACTCTTCACTCAAGTGACTCTTGAGGCCTATGCATGGCAAGGTAAGGATAAGGTATGTTGCGATAATGGAAGCTCCAAGCCTGTTGCCCTTACTGTGGATGCCCATGATAGAGAACTTTGTTTGAACGTAAGTAGTATAGGTATCGCGCCATACCCTCAGAGTCCTCTCTTATTATTCTCTTCTCTATATTACCCAATGGTCGTAGATAACAGACATACGAGGCGAGGGGGGCAAGGGTAGTTAGGTAAGGGGCCGGTGCTATCAACCAAACGGAGTAACAGAGAGCCCTGGTGCAGCATCATACAAGTAGGCTCAGCGCAGAAAAAGGCTCACACCAATTTGTTTGCCCCTTACAGCGGTTATCTTGGACAGGGCCCTTTTCAGAAATGCATGGATTATCTTCTAGCAGGTAAGGAGCTCCAGATATTCTAGGACCAAGCCATCCAATACCCAACCTCATCAATAACAGAACAAAACTCCAGTACTCAGCGTAGGAATGGAAATCAACCTTCAACGGAGTGCACTGATCAAAGGGCAGTAGACCGCGGTTCCAACCCCTCTTTACCTGGCTTTTTCTTCACCACCGCTCCCCGAGTGTAAGCCAGCGCTTACAGTGGTTCCAAGACTCCAAAAACTCCTCAGTCGCCTGGTTAGGATGCGCACCAGCGTCGATGAGACGGTCGATAACCTCTTCATTCGGCTCATCAGCCCCAAACTGCGCAGCTGTGAGCGCCGCACCCCAGTCGCCCGCACGCATATTCACCTCAGCCCCATTCGCCAGCAGCAACTCGACCATCTTCAGATGCCCTTCGACAACAGCGGCCTGCAGCGCAGTCTGGAATGAATAGCCCAAGGCCTCGATGTCGGCCTTGTTGTCTAAAAGGACCTGGGCGACATTAAGCGAGTTGTGACCGGCTGCGGCGATGAGGGGCGTATCGTGTCCCATTCCAAGGCCCAGGTCCGTCTCCGCACCTTGGTCAATAAGCATCTGGACAATGTCGCCGTTGTCGTGGGGTCCCGAGGCGGCTTCTTCGAGGGCGTTGTTGAGGACGATCACGTCTATCTCGTCCTCCTCCGCGAAGTCGAGGATCAAGCGCACCATGTCCTCGTGGCCCGCTCTGACGGCCTCAAGGAGCGGCTTTTCGAGGCGGCAGCCTTTCTCGACGAGTAGGGTCGCGGCTTCGATGTGGTTGAAGCGTGCGGCGTAGCAGAGGGGCATCATGTTGTCTTTGTCAGTTTTGTCGACATGGACATTATCGTCGATGATGCGCGAGATCATGGCGGTGTTGTTGGTTTTGGCGGCCCAGAAGAGTGAGTTGCAGGGGCCGGCGATGTCCTGGCGGTAGAGCAGCAAGGATAGGGTTGGATAGAGGGCCTTGCTGGTTTGGGCGAGGGCGTTCAGATCGCGCTGGGAGTCGACGGCTTTGCCGATCATGATCATAATCTCCAGGGGGAGAGTCAGGGGGGAGGGAGACATGGTGCGCGGTGCGAAATGCGATATAGATTGGTATATCAGATTGGTTGATAGAGATGGAAGGTTGAACGGCGAAGAAAATCAGTGCTTGTGATGGGATGAGGGTGAGGAAGGGAGAAAGGCAGAGATCGCAGAGAAAACAGGATCAACAGAATAGGTAACAGGTTTTCTTGTGGTCGCCGCGGCGATTGAATTGTTGTGAATCGGGATCCTGTTGGTGGTTGGCTCCGCACAACCTGGTATAGGCATGAATGAAGTACCTTTGTTGGCTTCTAGTGTCTCCAAGAAATTGATTATTACAGTGACAGAGATGCACATTACTTCTAGCATAAAGGCCACTGGTAGAGGTCTAAAAAGTCCAAGGCCTTCAACATGGCCAGATTCGTCATTCATTGAGTGGCGAGATGCTCAAGACTGCCCCCTAAGGTAAGTCATGAGGATTCCTATCGAGGTTTCAACAGTTGATTATCTCGCGATCATCTGAGTATCCCAAGTGCTACTGCCGCAGGGTGAGTAGATATTCGCAGTTTCCAAACACCAGAAGCACATATGACCAACACGAGAAAAGCATACGATATGTGACACTTATCAAGCATGGGCAGCTGTAGGTTCACTCATCTAGCCCTCTTCATCGGGTCGAACATCCTTGGCACCATATTTAAGGAGCCACTTTTCGATCTTTTCAAGATCCAGTTGTCTGGCTGTTGTGAGAGCCGTGCGATTGCCCGGCCCAACGGCATTGACATTGGCCCCGCGATCTAGTAGCATTCGAATCATGCCTTCATGTTCCTCTGTTACTGCCGCAATCAGGGCCGTACCGAACCGACCATCCACCACCTCAGGGTCAGCTCCACGTCGAAGCAGCAAACGAGCCATCTTACACTTGCCTGTAAACGCGGCAGCAATGAGCGGACTGGCCAGGTTCCCAGGAATGTCAACTTCAATGCCGTGGTCGAGTAGAAGCCTGGCAGTCATATGATGACCAGCTAGAACTGCAGCCTCCAGCGCGTTCACATATCTGGTTTGCCCAGGTCGAAGTAAGGAGTTGTGAAGAAGTCGTAACATGACCCCTTGAACTGCAGACCCAAGCACCCTCGAGTAGAAGCCATTCGACTCCCTTCTAGCTTGTATATCCGCGCCGCTCTCTAGGAGAATCCTAACCGTCGACACTGGCCCTTTTGCTGAGGCGAGGATGAGTGGCGTCACATTATCTTCACTGGTTTTGTCAACGTCGGCGCCAAAGTCAAGTAGGCGTTGAACTGCAGCGTCGGAGCCCAGCCTAACGGCGTGGATAATGCCCGAGCCGTTGTGGTTGGTGATGTTGTTCTTGTATAGGAAGTCGTTTGCGACAGCGTAGAGATGCTTGTTCGCTCTGCAGAAGGCGTTGATGTCACTTTCGGCTTCTAGAAAATTGGTGATTATCAGCAAAAGCTCAGATGGCAGAGATAGGAGCGACATGCTTCGTGGCAATCGATCGGCGTGACCGACGCAATAAATCGCAGTTGTGATGTTTGTCTTGTGTTAGGTGTCTGTGAGGTTTCGGTGGGTTGTGTATTCCGACAAGAGACTGAGGGAAATCGGAAGCGATGAACAAACTTTTGTTGGAGGGAATGATAATATGGGCGCGACTGTGGTTGTCTGATTGACTGAAGGGCGAGAAGGGAAGAAAGTAGAGGCTTGAGTGCCTATCGGAGCTTAATTAGAGAGTTGATTGAAGGGTTTCAGTGTACCAAAGCAACCTCAATACAGATTTGTGCTGTTTGCATATCAGTCAATGGAAAATGCCTGGAAGCCAACAAGGACTGCTCCTTTGATTTAGACCAAAACGCTTAGCCTGCCCAAGTTGCTTGGTTTCCTTCTAACAACAGTACAGGGACAGATTCAAGGCTCGCTCTTTTCACATGGATCAGAGTCGCACTCATAGGCCCTGTATCACGCTGCTTGATAGCAGTCCAGAAAACCACCGCTCTCGAGCACGCCCACAGTCCCTATCTCAACAAGCCATTTCGCATTGGGCTACAAAGTCGTGGGGTTAAAATCATCCCAGCAGACATCCATGACCTTCAAAAGACCTCGACGAACCAGCGTCTGCCATCGACGTGCTGATCTCTTTCATTTCCCCAACAGTGTCATAAGTGAGGTTCAGTCAGCGGTAATCATACGACCTTTTCAGTCCGCGCTGATGATTTTCATTGCCCGGAGTGGGTGTTGACGCCCGAAGGAAGAACCAGAGAAACTCACACCACTTTCAAAGGGTCCACCTTCCCTACGCATATTTTGACGAGGATAGCGGTACGAAATCACCCTTCGTCGAACCGCATTAGCCCTATTCCCTCTCCTACGCATGAAATTCACACAATTGGCTTGAGCGTTAATTTTTCGACGGTTCGCTGAGCTCAGGAATGGTGTGCGGTATGTTGCTGGGACAATCGCGGATCCTCGCCCTCTAAATGGAATGGTGCATGTCGATAATGGGTCTACACCCAGAATCAGGCGTGTGAGGTTGTTGAGAGACATGGGTGATGAAGAGCTGAAGCGCCAATATGGCAGTACCGAATTACTGAAATCCCACGGGCCATGGAACATGCCTGGAATGAAGTTCTAGGAGCGAAGAGATCCCTTACTCAGTCTGAAGGCATGGAAGAGCAAGTCATCAACTTTCAGCAAGCACTGGCCAAACTCGACCAGAACCCGGACGACAAGCCTACCTTGCTCGGATTTGTTGGCGCTCAGCTCTTCTACTCTTAGGCTATCAATGGCGGCATAACCCCCGAGAACGCTGATTCTGTGCGCTATATGGGCGGCAAGGACCTGTGTCCCTAAATCGGGTATACCACCTTCAAACATCGCCAGGGACTCGCTCGAAGAGAACGTGAAGGGTTTTATCAGGGATCAACAAGAGCAATCACAGCGCATTTGAGGCCGGAGAGTGTGATACTGAGCTCGCTAGGCACCTAACTTCCAATCTCGCTCGGACGATGCGGTCAGAAAGATGATCACTCGATGGAGCATATGTCGACTTTGATTACCCGACAATTGTCTGTTCCTCCTATTCTCGCATTCTCGTCAAAGTTTCCATTCCTGTCTGGGTTCTAGGGAACGTGAGAGCGTGCTGATGTATCTAGGCGCAGGCTGGATAAGGGGACACTTCATCAAGTGGAACTCAAATACCGTTTAGGGGAAAAGATCAAGCTATCCGGAACCCGCCTACTTCTAGCAGTTCTTTCTCCGATCGTCCCTAGCTTGAGAGACACTGTGTTGCTTTTCTCGCAATTCGACCTGTCAGGTGGTAGTAAATCCACCATGCTGATCAGATGTCCACATGTTCCGTTTAATAGCTCTAGGTAGAAAGCGGAGAGCGTTACGCGTAGGTCTCAGAGTGTACGGGGTTCACTGGGGGTCACAGGGACAGAAGAAGTACGGAGTAGCGCGTTGGTGAACTAGTAAAGCTGTACCTTGGTAGCTTTCGTAGGGCTATTGCAGGTTTCCTGGTACGGGCCAAAGAAGGTCGGATAATATTTCCACGAAGATGATGCGCAATCGAATTGCAGTTCGACGGACCCCGTTCCCAATAGATGTACGAACCATTGCGGAGTATCGCCATCACGAATGATCCTTCCCCAAGCACGCAAGTCAAATCCAGCCGCGGCAAACGGCGAGGCGAAATCGCCGCGATCGATGAGCGAGAGATTCGCCTCAAACAGGCGGTGGGCCATGACGATGCTTGACGTCTCTCGGAGAAGCCAAATGCCGAGCCCCTGAGAGGTGGACTTTCCTCGGACAAGCACTCAAATTTGGGCCGTGGATTATCACTCCGTATAGCACTCGCCCACATGGTCCAACGCTGTGGAGAACCCCGTCTCCATTCCCAGATATTAAGTACCTGGAACAGGGGGCGATCGACGAAACAAGGCGAATGACGTTGCTTGCCGTGGAGAATCCGAGCCCTGTATGTCTTAAATCGACGTCAATTGTTTTGTCCATCGCCATCGAATGTTCCCTGACGTGCTCCCGTCGGGCCGTTGAAGGGTATAAATATTGGGGAGTAGACCCTGGAGACTTGGACATCAGCATCAGCATCAACATCACAACCAACTCCTTAACTAAACAACCTATACCAACTCTCTTTCAAAATGAAGTTCTCTCTCGCCACTGCCGCTGCCTTCGTCAGCGCTGCTGCCGCCGCTACCCTCCCCTCTGCCTTCACCCTGGTCGCTGATGGCGGAAACACTGTCCTGACCGATGGTGGTAAGTGCCTCATCGCGTACACCGCTACTTACCTGCTCTGAACCATCTGACCCATCTCAGAATACCTCTACGTCGGCGGCAACACTACCACCAACGAGATCGCCATCTTCCACTCCACCCCCGACACCGGCGCCGTCTCCTTCACCTCTCAGTCCTCCACCCCCACGGGCTTCCAGAACCTCTACGTTGTCGAGAAGTCCGTCTCCCCCGTTGAGCTGACCCGCCCCCACTCCGGGGCTGTGCCCGAGGGCGCCAGCACCCTGGACTTCGGCGCCAACGAGAAGGGTTACTTTACCCACGCCGGCAAGGACTACTTCGCTATTGACGGGTACGGCGATGTCCCCCAGAAGACCATCTACTGGTACGGCGCCCACAGCTCCGAGTACAAGGCTGTCAACCTCTGGGTTAAGGAGTTCAAGGAGTAAACGACTCGCCCCGCGTCGAATTGTATATAGTTGGGACGCGTCCTGAGGCCTGAGACCCTGCCTGTGGTTCTGCGTTGATGGGACAGTCCGTTGATAACCTTGCCTGTACATGTTCATTCATTGCACATAAATAGATAATGCGAAAGTATCGAACGCACCGGCTCCTGGGAAGTACTTTGCTAACGCGCAGCTCGTTCGCCATTCCCTAAGACAGAAAGATAATCGTAAGCTTGACTCAAGTGTCTGAAAATTGCAGTGATATGACAGGACAAACCACGCAATGTCATTGATTGAGCATGATCGGCGGACAAGAACTCTTGTGGTCGTTTCCGATCACTCAGGTAAAGGGCCTTGCTGCTTAATAAATATCGGAGCTAGTAGAGGGTATATTGCAGCTGCTTCTTGTAGGAAACGAAATGTAGCCAGATATCGTATCGTATAATTCATCGAGCGAACGGAGTGTCTCCAAGGTTAGGTTCTGAAGTTGATGATCTTTCCAAGGCTGCGCGGCAGCGAAGAAGAGAGCCTGCGGTGCTTGGCGGCCTGAGGCAAACATGGCGTCTAGCACTCAACACACCACCCTGCTTCCTACTCAGTACCACCACCTTCTTTCAGAATACCATACACACTTTGATGCCACATCCACTACATCCTCTAACATCACTTCGCTCAAAGTCACCCACGAGACACAATGTCGGAAACTACAGTCGTCCAGGCAGTCAGCCTACCAAGCACGTTCGAGACCAAGACCGAGCCGCCTCGCCTACCAACAAAAGCAGAATCGACGCCGCAACAGAGGTCCTCAACGCAGCCGATACATCGGCAACGGTCGTCCGGGTGAACGGCCGCTTCGCGGTAAAAGTCGGTCTCCAAGTGCCCCTCATCGAAGCCGAAACCATGAAGTTCCTCGCGGCGAACAGCAAAGTCCGCATTCCCAAAGTGTACGACGCATTTGTTGATCCGGAGTCCAACAAGACCTACATCATCATGGACCACGTCCCTGGAGATACGCTGCGAGATCTTCTCCCGTCACTTGGCCGTGATGAGAAAGCTAGAATCTGCGAGCTGATCAAGAATAAGCTTACGAAGCTACGGAGCATACCAGCGCCGGATTACTTAGGAATGATTGACCACTCGCCTTACCTCGATGGCGTCTTTTGGAACTGCGGATTGGATCCAAAAATCTGTGGGCCGTTTGCTAGTGAGGAGGAATTGAACTGCGGCATGATTGAGAAACTCCGGCAGACGGAATCCGAGCAGTATATCCGCTTGTTGCGGACGATGATGGATCGGACTCTGCATGGGCACCGGACTTTGTTTACGCATGGCGACCTCCAGCCGAAGAATATTATGGTTGAGCGACTTGACGATGGCGATGGAGCCCCGGATTTTAAAATCACCTTGATCGACTGGGAAAGTGCGGGATGGTACCCGGAGTACTGGGACTTTTGCAATGCTACAGTTGCTTGTAGGTTCAAGCGAGACTGGCTTGAACTTGTGCCGGATATCCTCGACGAATACCCCTTGGAGTTTCTGATGATGCAGGTGGTCTATTCTTCTGTGTACTACTAGAGCGAAGAAAGAAGATGTACTAGGAACCAGCAAATGTTTGCAACCAAAACGCCTGCGCTGAAAGGAAAAACATGAAGCTTAAGCTAAAGAGATCGCCAATAACAGAAGAGAGATGAGGAAAGACCAAGGAAACCACAAAAGTGCTTCCAGCAGTGCGTGCGTCATTCTAGCTGTAGATAGTGCCATGAGAGCCTGGAATCATTTGTCAATCCAGAACACAAGCCAAAGAGGGAAGAAACACCTACTGCTTCGGTGCCTGAAGATACGCCTCTCAACAGCCAGCTTGACAACGCCGTCCATCCAGCTATTGCAGCGGCAAACAGAAGAGCTTGCAGCAATATTTGGACCATGTCCAGTGCACGCCAGGTTGCAAAAAAAGCTCCTGACCTAGCTATTGTCAACATCTACACTCATTAGCACATAATTACAGAGTAATATATATTGCAATAGCGCCTGAGGCATTCCATAGATACCCCTGAACTGAGTCAGTCACATTCCATTTTATCATTCACGCTAAGAATAACCAAGCCTTGCCTGGGGAGCATCGCTGCCAAAAGAAGAAATAACACAATCATGCAAACATTACAGAATCAATCAAAATATTCCCCAAGCGCTTCCCCTTACTCAATGTTGGTGCAGTCGTCCTCCTCAGCTTGCCCATCATAACCATCACCACTCCAGCTTTGCTCCGGATCGGCCTCGCTAATTTCGCTCCAGGTCACATCCTTAATAGCAGGCCTTCTGTGAATACGCCGACCCATCAGCTCCACCATTTGCTTCCCAGGAACCGCCGATATTCCAACACCACCCAGAATTTCCTTGTACTCGTGGCCCATCTCTTCCACCACAGACAGGAGCATGTTATCGGGAAGGTACCTGCCAGGTGTGCCCCAAAAGGGCTTGCCAATCTCGTCGACGAGCACTTCGTGAGATATACGATCATGATTTCCTGCCCATGCATGTCGGATTACTTGGGCACAATTATGGAAATAGATGTACCGAGCGGCCGGCCTAAACTTGTTCCTGAATTCCAGCTGCTTCCCATCAATGTCTGCCCATGTAGTCGGATCCTCAGTCCTAATGCGCTGATTGAGCCTGTCCCACGTCTTATCGATAATTTTGATTTTGTACTCGCGGGGCTCTCCCCGAAGCCAGGCACGGATCGCTTCGATAGTAGGGTGACGGGTTCGCGTTGCTGGGATGATCACAAATTTGCCAGCGTCGAAGTATTTTTCTATGCGAGATGCGACGAGAATGCCATTTTTGGCCGAGAAAAGTTCGGAGGGTCTTCGTGTGCCGAACATAGCATCCATCGTGCCCTGGCCGTGAGCATAAGGGAAGAGGTGTGCAGCCTGTATTATCTCTTCCTCCAGCCATTTACCCAGAATGGGGCACCACAGGCTATCCTTGTCGGTCTGATGCCGAGCATCCATTGATTCAATGAGCTCTCGTCGAAAGTTTGATTGATCTTGGGGATTTCGCTTCCCAGCGCCGGTATTCATGACATTCCATCCGAGCTTGGACGAACTAAAGAGCCGATAGAATGTGGGCCGAAAGCCACGCTGCTCGTCCCACTTCTCCTCGTCCAGTTCTTCCGCCCGGCTTCTGTACAGAATCGCGAGGTTCTTTTTGGCCATTCTCTCCTCTGTGATTGCCTTGCCTTCCTCTGTTCTGTCCCACTCTGCACGCGTGCCTGTGAAATCTCGAAGCGAGATATCACGCCGTACTTCGAACCTCTTCTGCTCCAGCTCTTCGCCTTGCGCAACCTCTTTCCAATAGTCTGAATTGAACGAACCGTGAGCGACTCTACGCTTCTTTGCGACGCGGATTCCGTCCATGAGCATGCGGTTCTGGTCTTCCAGGAGGATCGGGCTCGGTGCTGCGGCTCTTTTTCTATCGGTCATGCTTGTGTCGGTCATGGCGGCGATGTGAGTGAAGATGATTGGATTTCAAAAAAGGAAGAAGTAACTGGTAAAAGGAAGATGAAATCTGATTAAAGGAAGATGTAGGACACTTTGCTGGAGCTGCCGACAGAATGAGTCACGATCTGTTGGTCACAAATGTGTTCGCCATCCGGACAGTAATCCATGCCGGATACAGGAACCTTAGGTAGATGCACCAACGAGGAAGGACCAATGGAGCCATCGGATCGATGCTTCCGGGCTTTGTGGTCGGCCTGAGGAAATTGGACAATCTGCAACAGATGTCGAATAGTAGCTGACATCTGGTAGAAAGTCAAATGGATTTCTGAGGTGCCGCTCACGTTTTGAGTCCTCCTGATAGTGACGAGAACTCGGAGTGTTTGGTGGATGGAGGAAAGCGAAGGGACCGGCCGGCGTGGGAACACAACATGTCTTTATGCCCGATGTGCCGGATGATCACGAAGACTACGAAATCCAGATTCTTATGAATGATAACCGAAAGTTCGGGCCATTCCCAGCATCCTTCCTGGAAATAGGTGATGACCAGCGGCTCGCAATTCTTACCTGGGCAATGCAGAAGTCCCCAAGAGAAACATTGCGGCCGTTTACCCCCGCCCCAGCCAAGGAGATTTCCCAGAAGGTTAAGGATTTTGTTTTGCGGATCATGAAGCTTGACACTCGAAATCGACCCACCACACGCCAACCCTTGGGGGATGCATGGTTCAGTGAGGCTACTCCAGAAAGTATGCCCGTAAAATCAGCTGCAGAAGGGGAATCCTAGGCCGTCTAAAGCTAGGATTCTATATTTTGAGACAGTTTGACAAAAGCATTATGCCATAGATGATCTCGAATGAACGACCGAAAGAATAATGAGAGGTAAGGGGTGCAGTTAAGTACTTGGCAATTAGAAGAGGACGATCACCACTTCCTATAGCTTACAGTCAGAGGGCTTTTCTCAGCGCACATAATCTGGCCGTGGTCCATATCTGCAAAGTATGGAATCACTTCGATTCTCTAGACGACCTAAGCTAGATAGAGTTCGACAAAATACACTGGATAGATGTGAAGTCTTACCCCGTACCAACTACCTGACAGAGCGTAGTATTAACTACACCAATGTTGGTTAGAATCCCGCAACATGATAATCGAGTCCGCCATATCTTATCAGCTTATATTCTGCCAGTGCCATGATCAGGCTGATGTCGAGGCCCCGGCGCTCAAGGGATCCACATCAGGGACCCTGGGCAACATTCTTGGCGCCCCACAGAGATCTACTAGAATACACTGATTGGCCAGCTTTGAGCATGATTGAGAATGACTCATTTTAGTGTGTCCTAGATGGGCTTAGATTGGTTATGGTATTACGCTGCTTCTATAGTATCATCATTAATCAGAATGAGTGATGCTCGAGACAGTCGGCAAGGGCTGCTCTGAATAAATTGAGTTATGAGCCAAGCTGCGGGGTGTAGGAGAGGATATTGTCAATCATCAAGACTCATCATGGCCAAAAATGATATGTGGCCGGTGCTATATAAGAAACTAGGGCGTAGGCTGTAGTAGTTTGAACCATCCAGTCTAAGCCTCTCCTGCGGGCGGGAGATGTGTCTGAATCTGGTATCCAAAGTGATATCAGGAATTAATGGTATGTTGAATGACTCTTTTTTTTGTGTATCTCCTGTTTTGAGGATGAAGAAAAGCCCGCGGCTGCCGACTTTGCGCAGTGAGGCGCTTGGAGATGAAGAAAATATAGGAAGACGTCTCTAAGATACTTTGGGCCGACATCGACTGACTCACTGATCATCAATATCTTCTTTTCACACGCTCTTATCAAGGACAAGGCTAACTGCAGGTCAACACCTCGAAGTATAGGGCGTAATATACCAGTCACTCCGATACGGACACAGCCCCACACCAACCGCTAAACCCGGTCGGCTCCCCGCAACCGTGGGCTTCTTAAGGCGCCTCCTCGCCTGCCCCAGGCCCTCTTCTTCTTCTCACTCACATATCTCAAAGCGTCAACAGCGCTCTCCTTTCATCCTATAAACCGCCCGAGCTTCCGGGTCGCCGCAAGACCCGGCCTATACTATCTCGCAATGGCCGCCGCCACCATATCCGCAGCGTCGGTCGCCCGCCAGTGGGCACCAGTGTTCCTGGTCGGAAGACAGGCCACTTCAGTCTAATCAGTACCTCGACATCTCTCCTCATTCCTTCTTCAGCGACTCCGACTTTCTTCTTTCCTCAAATACCTCTTTATCATCATCATCTACGCCCGCACTTTTCCCCGATCTTTCAGCGGTCTTCCCTCCCGTTGATCTCGACCCGAACACACCACAGCTCTTCTATGACCCGCTTCTCATTCCGTCTATGTTCCCTGGGGATCCCGTTCCTTCGACAAGCTTTGATCAGTTCAACGATTTGACGACGGCGGCGGGATACCCGACAATCACTACAACTACGGCGGACGACATCGATTGGACGGCCTTGGGGTGCTTGCCTCCGAGTGAGCAACCTGCCAATAGTCTCGAGAGTCAGAGTCAGGGCTTTGCTTCTAGCATTGACTCTCCTGGTACGTTCTTCACTTTTACTGCCTCTGCATCCGTAACTAACATATCCCAGACCCCCCTTTCGATCACAACCAACCAACAATACTCACCACAGCCCCTTCCACTACCCACACCACGGCACCCGCAACCTCGCTTCAGTCCATCCCCATGCCCTCAGCAACATCCCTCCCAACAACCTCCTCTACCTCTCCCACCTCTCGCGAGTCCTCGCCAAAGGAGAAGGAGAACCCCTCGCGCATCGCCAAGCGCCAACTCAACACCATGGCCGCACGACGGTACCGCCAGCGCAAACTCGACAAGGTAGCTCAACTCGAGGAGGAACTGGCGGCCATCAAGCGCGAACGTGACGAGCTCAAGATGCGCGTTTCAAAGCTGGAGGGGGAGACTGAGGTGTTGAGGAGTATGGTGAAGGATAAGAGTTAGGTTTCGGTACTTAGGTTTGATAATGGAATGTTTTGTGATGATCTTCTCTTAACGGCGTAGCTTCTACACATGTGCCTTGACCCCGGGTGTATCTGCGGCACCCGACAGAGGCTCAGAGCTAGTCCCAGGACCCAACATCTCTTGGCAAACCTCACCACCCCGAATCGCTATACCAACCCTCAACAAGTTACCGCGTCGGATCCCCAGCGATTAGTGTATGACCTGAGACCTATGGTCGCCGACCACCGGGGTCTAGGCGCCGATCTGGTGGCCAGTTGGCGCAGAGTCGCTCTGAAATGACAATGGTCAGATCTTGGCCCGCGGAGGGCGTAGCCACCGAGAAGTCTGACTGGTTTCTAATTCATAGGTAGGGATAGCTTCGGAGGATTTTTTGGAGGCCTGAGGCCTCCGGGCAAGTTCTATATAGAGGCCTCAGGCTGTTGTGTATCTAGAGAACACCGAGACACTTTGTCTTAGACCCGAGTGATATCAACCATCCCTTACGGTTCCAGATTTGTGCTACTTTACTTACTGGCATACAGATCTATTGATCAGCTCTTGTGCGGGACAGTGGTCAAGCGAGGCAGTCCTGAGAGGTCCGAACTACCGTGCACTCCGCGTAATCATCCCATCTGAGATCGCGCTGTGGTACATTGCAGGCATATACCCAGCTACTGGGCGAATTGTCACCAATAAACAATGTTCCAGCAATCTTATCCCTGTAGTACTTTGCAGGCATATACCCAGCTACTGGGTGAATCGTCACCAATAAGCCAGCAGCAACCTCACCATCTAGCAGTAATCCTCTTCTCGTTACTCTGCAGCCAATGGACGCATCCATGCTGGCGGGGAATGGAATAGGCAAAAAAAGAACCTGTGCAAAGGCCGAGTAGCGCTGACTAGAAAGCCGCTGTCCCGTGTATAAAGCGAGCGAGCCGTCCCGGGCTTTCCTCAGAAACCCCATATCCTTTCGGTTCATTCCTGGCCGTTTCATTCCTGGCCGTTTCATTCCTGCCATACAACCATCTTTCTGCTATACCACGATCGATCTTCACCCCCGCATACCACACTATATCAAACCCCTACCCAACTCCAGCCAAGCCAAGACAAACTCCTGGCAAAACAGAGTAGAGCCTTCGCGATGCGTCTCTTCTTCCTCTTCGCATCTCTCCTCCCATGCGCATTCCTCGCACACGCGCAAAGAATGGTTGGGGATTGCGGCGGCTTCGGCTCCGTATGTCTTTGGAAGGACTCTGATACCGGCCTCGGCTACGGCTGCACCTGTTCTATCGGTCAATGCAGGCCATTCTATGTAGAACCATCTAATGTGCACATCGCTATCTGTGTACCGGAACCTGTGGAGTCCGCGGATCTCTAGAGCATTGGACCGATAACCTTGTATGCGCTGAAGCTTCACTGGGCGAGGTGTCGGAACGCTTGTGGGGTTTGGAGTTGGTGCTGACGTGACGCAAATAGACTAGGATTCGACTTCGAAGGAGAGGTGTTGGGAGAACATGGTATGTAGGTGTGTGCGCGAGTTTGGAATGGCTGGCGGGTGAAGTTGCTGCAATTGAAAGATAAAAGCAGGGAACATGTACCTACTACATAATGCTGCTGTGCCTAGTTTCATCCTGATAGGGTGTATGTCCTGGCTCTGAACATGGTGGTACACTTCTGGCGGAGTTCAGTTCTTATTTTGGCATTCAGGGCTGGATTCGCAGAATCAGTATCATTGCATTAAGCTTTATCTGTCCGCGGCCCAATGTCCTTCCTAGCTGACGAATACGGACGTGCTTGAACTCTGTTAAACCCCCACTAACATGCAGAATAACATCAGGAAGCAGCTGTGGGGTTACCTACGCGAGCCCGAGACTACCGTACAGTGGTACATTGCAGGGCAGGAACTTGGCGTTAGGATTATCTCAAGTTGAAGTCTAAACCAAGCTCCAAGCTATGTAATGGAGTCCGTTTTTCCTTGTAAGATCTACTTACCCTGTCATTTTGCTCTTCATGGCAATTCGTCGGATGGGCCTTTATGGGGCTGAGACGTCCTCAAACCACCACCTTGGCAGCAGGAAGTACAACACCCCTGCACTCTCCAAACCCGAACCTCCTCCCCGTATGCCGATTCATGCACCATCCTTCCATGACGACCTCGTCGCCGTCTTCCAGATACACAACTCCAGCTGTAGTGAGATGCGAGAGTTTATTCTGCGGCAGGTTGCGCTCGAGGAGACATGCTATTCCTGTATTTTCGCCGTTGGCATTCGTACGCTGTGGGATATTAGCTGATGGAACAAACATGACAGAACCAAAGCAAGCATGTAACGCACCGCACTCGTAACAGTTCCGGTCCCGAATATATCGCCCGTGCTGAGACCTTCTCCGGCACTGGTGAGATGGGTGAGTTGCTGGTAGGGCGTCCAGTAGAGCTCCTTGAGGTTCGTCTCGGTTACTAGATAGGACTTGCCGTTTCCTAAACACCAGTAAGTACTCTCTCCAGCAATGAAGGATGTCGGGAAGGGGACATACGAATAACCCTAGCCTCCAACTCAACATCCCACGTCTCATGCCCCTTATCACCCCTCCAAGCCAAGTGCGCCAACGGCTCCGGCTCCTGCACCTTCGCACTAGCCACCCTGCACCCCTCCAGCGCCTCAATCGTAACAATCCACGGCGAAACCGTTGTCCCCGCGCCCTTCCCATGGAACGGCCCAAGAGGCGGCATCTCAAAGCCCTGTATATCCCTCGCCGACCAATCGTTCAAAATCACCAGTCCGAAAATATACTCCGGCGCATCGCTAATATCGAGAACTTCGCCCGGCGGCAGCGGTCGGGAAAGGAAAACGCCGACTTCAAGCTCAAAGTCGAAGCGCCGCGTCGGCTGGAATTCCGGATTCTGCGCGGGACTGGACGCGAAGACGCCGTTTGGACGCACGACGGGCGTGCCGCTGACGCGGAGGGACGACGTGCGTCCGTTGTAGACGCTTGGTATGATGTACCAGTTCTGGCTGATGGGGACGTTCATGATTTGGCTGCACTGCTTTCCTGTCAGTATGACCGAGCGCCACCTACCGTAACGAGGGAGTGTACGTTTTGCGTATGCTCGAGCGAGCAATAGAAATCCGAGAAATTCTTCGTCTCCATCGGGTAGTGGTTCGTGACTTTCTCGAGGGGGATCGCGTATTTCGCGCGCGTGCTTGGGTCCGCGAGGTGTTCTGTCAATAGAGCCCTAACTTGGCTGTGGGTGGACTTTGGGAGGGCGGCGAAGGTGTTGAGGGTTGGCTGGTAGAGCAAAATGAGTGAGGATTGAGAAACCAATAGGGTAGAATTGTACCTGAGAGAAAACTGCATTTTCGAACCCAGGGACTCCTTTGAAGTAGCCGTCTTTCTCGAGACCGCTCAGGTCGATCGCGTCGCTTTCAAGGGCGGTTGCACAGCGCGGGGTTGGGCTGTCGGCGGTTGAGATGACGCCGTAGGGGAGGTTTTCGATGGGGAAGGGGTTTGACATGGTGCTTCTATTAGATTTGGTAGTATTGTTGATGAAGAATTGATAGCAGGTTCAGATTCAATTGATGATGGAGGTTGGTGGACATGGTCAGCTTCACCGGGCGTCCTGTCTTACTCCGAAGAATACTCCGGGTTGATCATCATGCGGTGACTTTCGATCGCCGAGTCGGCGCTTCTGTCTAATATCCTCGATTGACAGGGTTCGAGATGAGAGCACTGCATGGGCAGCTATAATTGTTTGCGCTATTTGGAGGGATGAGGGTTTTCTGGGCAGCGGGGTTGGGCCGATATATAATCACAGCGCACAATTCCTCGACCTACGAAGAACTCTGATAGCAAAAACAGAATCAACGATGACTTTGAACTAAATTATCGTAACTCATGATGGACCAAGCGACCAAGTGCCAATGATTCCTGTCGACTAAGAATACGGGTGTGGATGCACAACGCCTCGACTCTGGTCGGAGAACGTGGGACCGAGGAGAACGCAAGGGCGGCCGCTCAGCTCTTCTCCCCATCGTTCCGGTCGGGATGCCTCACCGAAGGCTGGCGGATGTGGCCTGCACTGTACGGTGTATGGCGTTGGGTACTTTTCTCAAGTCTACTAAGCGTCGCAACCACCGCAGTGTCTAATTTTCCAAAGTAATCTTGACCTTCTTCTCCGGCGGAGGGATGACCTTGTCTTCCGATGCGCCCTTGAGATTTGGCAACTCAGCCACGGCCTCCTTGATGATTTCGAGCGACTTTGCGATTTCTTCTTCGGTAATGACTAGAGGTGGCGCAAGACGAATGATGTTTTGGTGGGTGGGTTTGGCCTAGTCGGGTCAGTATTGGACGGATGATGCAAAGCGCGGTGCCTACCAGAAGTCCCTTCTCCTTCATCAGCATGCAAAGGTCCCACGCGGTGTGCCCATTCGTTTTGGACTCGTCAATGACGATCGCGTTGAGCAGACCCTTTCCGCGGACAGTCTGAATAATCGGGCTTTGGATGGCTTCCAGGCCGCTGCGGAAGGCCTGGCCAAGCTTCTCAGCTCGCTCCACCATGTTCTCCTCCTGAACAATTTCGAGGGCACGGATGGCAACGGCGCAAGCGAGCGGGTTACCTCCGTAAGTTGATCCGTGAGTGCCAGGCTCAACAGTGAGCATAACGTCCTTCCGCCCCAGTACGCAGGATACGGGGTACATGCCACCGGAGATCGCCTTGCCCAGAAGAACCATGTCGGGCTTGATACCGCTCCACTCGTGGCAGAGAAGCTTTCCTGTCCGTGCAATACCGGTCTGGATCTCGTCGCAAATCAGTAGCACATTGTGCTCGTCGCAGAGCGATCTAGCCAATTGGAGATAATCATCGTCCGGAACAATGATTCCTGCCTCACCCTGGATGGGCTCGACGAGGAATGCAGCGAGATTGTGGCCAGCCTTCTCGAAAGCTTCGCGCAGCGCAGCCTTGTCATTGTATGTAATCGGCTTATTGGTCCCAGGAATCGCGCAGCCAATGTTGGGAACGAACGGGCCATAATTCTCTCGAGACTCGGGGTCGGAAGACAAGGAAATGGCAGCCATCTACTCAAGAAAGTCAGTCGCATTGTACCAAGACCTGGTTGGAAGTGGTGAGACTTACTGTTCGGCCGTGAAAGTTGTTCTCCGCACTAAGGATGATCGCCTCATTCTCGGGGATGCCCTTGACCTTGTAACCCCACTTGCGGGCGATCTTGATGCCGGTCTCGACCGCCTCCGCACCGGTGTTCATGGGGAGGACCATGTCGAAGCCAAAGTACTTGGTGACCATCTCGGCGAATTTGGGGAAGACATCGTTATAGAAAGCGCGAGAGCTGAGCGTCAGACGAGAAGCCTGGTCGACAAGGGCAGCAATCAGCTTGGGGTGGCAGTGACCTTGGTTCACTGCGGAGTATGCGGAGAGGAAGTCGAGGTAGTGTCGGCCCTCAGGGTCCCAGACGGAGGTACCTTGTGCGCGCGCGAAGACGACGGGAAGGGGGTGGTAGTTGTGGGCAGCGAAGTCCTTCTCAGCCTGGATGGCCTCTTGAGTGGACGAGGCATGGTAGGAGGCAGCAGCTGTAGTGCCGTTGGTGCCGTTTGTACCGTTGGTGGTCATGTTGGGTAGAGATAGGTCAAAGATAGGTTTGGGGATAAGAGTAGAGGGAAGATACAGCCGAGTAAGAGAATTGAAGCGAGAAGAATGCGAAAAGATTGTGGGAAGGGCTTATAAGCAGCGAGAAGGTGAAGGCATACCGCTAAGTGCAGGTGTACCCGCATGATTCCCTTAAGTGCAGGTCGACCCGTTCGATGACGCTGTGGAGACTTGTCGGTCCACTCTCACCACTGACAACTCTCGCTTTCTCAGCTTCGGCTCTTGTACCTTTCCTTCCTCAGGCACGCCGCTTTCAGAATCCGGGGTAACCAGCCTTACCATGTCCGCTCGCTCGCGACGATCGAATCCCCGGCTTCCTCCTTCGTCCTCCAAGTCTTCGTTTGACGCTGCGCGGGCGCCGTCACATTCCTCCCCGCCTTCACGGCCGACGCCGCCCTCCGCCAAACCCAACGTGTCCTCCAACATCCTCCTTTTCCTGATCGCGTTCCGTCTCATCAACGCCCTCACTGTCCGAACCTTTTTCCAACCCGATGAATTCTTCCAGTCCCTCGAGCCTGCCTGGAAGATTGCTTTTGGCGAGAACCAGGGACCGTGGATAACCTGGGTGAGCTCCCCGCCGACAGCCCCAGTCGCATATCCGCGGCTTCAAGATCTGACGGAATTTGTCTACAGGAATGGGAACACCAGCTGAGGTCCTCGCTGCATCCGCTTCTTTTCGCTGCTGTGTACTCTGCTGCCGACTTCGTCGCACGAACTCTCGGACTCGCCCCCGCATCACGCGCCGACCTCCTTGTCGTTGCTCCCGGGATAACGCAGGCCTTCATCGCAGCCGTCGGCGATTTCTACACTTGGAAGCTAGCTCGGTATATTTATGGGGACAGGAGCAATGAGTCTTGGGCGACGGTATACACTCTGGGATCGATATAGTGGCCGAGGCTGATCAGCTGCAGCTTGCGTTGACCGTCGTCAGTCCGTGGCAGTGGTTCTGTTCTACCCGAACTCTCTCCAACTGTCTTGAGACTACGATCACAATTGTCGCTCTATATTTGTGGCCATGGGGATGGGCTCTGAAATCTCGTGCTGCCGGCTCTATAGTAGAGAGCAAAGGCGTTAGCATCTCCAGGTATGTCTTTCACATGACAGTCCGAGCGTCGCTGACTCCGCGGAGATTACGTAAATGCCTTTTGCTGGCCGCTTTTGCGTGTGTCCTACGCCCTACCAACGTGATCATCTGGGTAGGCCTGGCCAGTGTTGCCCTGCACCGAAGTAGCTGGGCGCAGAGGCAGATTCTTGCTCGTGAGGCTCTTCTTTGCGGGTAAGTGCCCCACTACTGTTTTTTCTCAGAAGCTCACATCTACAGTTCGTCCGTTCTCGCCGTGTCTACTGTTGTTGATCGTGCCTTCTATGGATTCTGGACGTTTCCGCCCTTCAGATTCTTGTACTTCAATGTCGCCCAATCGCTTGCGGTCTTTTACGGGGAAAATGATTGGACCTACTACGCTTCTCAGGGATACCCTCTCCTCCTCACCACCGCACTCCCATTCGCCTTGGTGGGATTATACCGCACTCTGAGAAAAACACCGTCGCTTGAGAAGGAAAAAGCTTCTATTCTGGTTCAAATTGCCTCTATCTCTTTGGCTATGCCTGCTACACTTTCTGTTATTACTCACAAAGAAGTTCGCTTTATCTACCCGCTGCTGCCGGCTCTACACATTCTCAGTGCCTCGCCTCTAGTGGAATTCTTCCTCCCCGCCTTGGCAACAACAGACCGCCAGTATATTCCACGACGACTCACGCTCATTTTTCTCCTCTTGGTGAACATCACGATTGCGATCTATACGAGTCTTTTCCATGCTTCTGGGGTCATCTCAGTCTTATCATACCTTAGAGAACAGCATCAAGTGCATGGAATCGCAACCGCCCTGTCGGCACCGAACGACAGCGCTGCAAGCTACGGTGGAATAACTGCTGGTTTCCTCATGCCCTGTCATAGCACCCCATGGCGTTCACACCTAGTAGAACCTACGATCCACGCCTGGGCCCTCTCCTGCGAACCACCCGTCGGCCTAACGGCGGAGGAGAAAGCCGTATACCGCGATGAAGCCGACCAGTTCTACGACAATCCGAAGGAATTCCTCCGCGACAACATGGTTGGCGGATTGCGATATATCCCCCGACGACCGTCATATTCGACCCCTCCGAATTCCCCGCGACCTCCTACTCAACGTCTTCCACCTCACGAATGGCCAGATTACCTCGTCTTCTTTGCGCAGCTCGAACCAACCCTCAAGAGCTATCTCCGGAGCTCGTCATACGGCGAATGCTGGCGCACGTACAACACAGACTGGCACGACGACTCGCGCCGTCGCGGCGACGTTGTCGTCTGGTGCCTCGACCCAACCGAGCAGCAAGCCTGGCGGTCGGAACAGCATCATCGCGCTGTAGAAGACCGTGACCGCCAGTTTGACCACATTATGCAAAGATTCCAAAGTCACATGACGCCGTCCAAACCATCGATCTGGGGTCAGTGGACATCACCTTTCTCAAGGCAATCACCTTCATCATGGTCGTGGCCCTGGGAGCGTAAGAAGCGGACGTTGTTTGGCTACGAGCTGCCTGAGCTGCCGCAGTGGAATTGGCTTAAGGGAAAGAAGAAGAAGGGCGTCTCGCTGAGCGACTTTTGGTTCTAGAATGATTCGATCTACTTGGCTTTTTGGTGGGTATTCGTGTACATATTCGTATCTAATATTGCAGTTCGACCATGTCTATATGGGATTTACTTCATCAGGAAGTTCGTCATCCACTTCACCTATTTTGCGCATTAGCTCGCCAACAGCCTTTGTTTACGCGGCCTCATTGTGCATCTTGTGAAGATGAAACACATACCTTGTTGGATTGCAAGGCAAGCCCAACTCACGCGCCCACTCATCGCTCCTTCCGTAAGACCATATCGGATCAGGTCCGCACCTTCCTATCATGGGTGAAGATCCACCGCGCCTTCCTCTTCGGTTTTCCCAAGCAATCTTGCACGGCAGGAGCAACCCAGTCCGAACCCCGTGGCTTCCTCTTTTGGAAACTTGCGTACCTGATATCGACCACAATCCTAGATCCAGGTACAGTTTCTGAATCCAGCTCGGGGTTCAGTTTTCACCCAAAGAATTGGCATATTATCCGCCCCATTCCTGAACCTCGTCGAGAATACCTGGCCCCGTTCATCAGCCCTTCCAACAAAAGTTTCTCTAGCCGGAATCGAGAACGCACCATTCAGACCATAGCACCCGTAAACGAAGCTCATGAGCCAATATGGACCACGGCATAAGCGCCGTGCGTAACGGATGACCTAACTTCTGTGCTTGTCGCCAATGATGCAGAGAACTATTTCCTATCATGCGGCAATAGCCGAAGGAAGGCTTGACTACCATAGGTATGGAGTGACTGCATTGATCAAGGAGTAGGAAGCGTATCTGGGTTAGCTAGACTCCAGGAAGACGCCGTATATGGGTGGTTGCTATCATTATTGCGCTACGATCTGAAGTCCCGAGCGACAGAGAGAATTGAAAGATTGCCTCGCGGCTACAGAGCACAACCAAGCGAGAGGTCTTTTCTCTACTGGGAAGCTCGAACACGGCGTTGTCCTTTCTGCACATGGCAGAGTAGGGCAACCTCATCGGTCCCATCTCCGCCCATTCAACTGTCCCAGCAACGTGTCGTGTGCGAAACCGGCCTCCAACCTGGTTGCCCGCCTCCATGATCTCACAGTTATGGACACCGACGCTGTCCAGCATCAACGCCGTTGCTGGACCGGAGATTCTGGTACCCACGATGGCTCCCTTGCTGTGTTTGAGTGAGTGCCCAGAAGCCACGCCCCTGTCGGCCTTGGACTTTCTCTTGATACTCGCGACGCCGTTGTACCATGCTCTTAGGGCGTCAAAGCCTTTCAACAAGGGATTATCAGTGTCAGAAACGGATCGCTTCCGAGTCTGGTGCGTAAGACGAACAGCATCACTCTTGCCGAGGAACTGAGGAGTATTTTGTGGTTCGGCTCCGTAAAGATAGACGCAGTTGTCCGTCTGGGCGTCCTCAGGACGGCTCAAGCCAGCCGCAAATGAGACTGTCGTCGGACGTTGAGACGACCGATGGTATATGGAGAAGAAGAGGAATTCGGGTTCACACAGGACGCGTAGATGGCCTCGATAAGACTTGGCGAGAATCCAAGCCAGCCGAGATGGATATTGGCTAACCCACCGGAGTGGACATGCTCAGAGATTGTCACCCGAACTATGCTTTGATCTCGCGGTCGACTGAAGACGGAGTTGGGCTGACCCAGCAGGAGGGCCGCGGTCGCAATGACACGGAGCCCCATGGTTGACGTTGATGTCTAGAGACAGGTTACCACCAGCGACCGAGATGCCATCTTATAGGTAGCTGTCCATGTTGATCTGCAGATTCACTTTTTCCTCGCGGTCCCCGTCACGGGGGCTCCAGAAGAACACAGATCGACGCAGGGCAAGCTTGCCGCTAGTAGTCGCCGAGAAGAGCAGTTCTTTAACTACAACTCGTGCGTCTCCGAGCTTGGTCGTCGCGTTGGTTGTGATTGAAGCTTTGCCGAGAGACTGGAGCCCTAGGTTGACAGCGCAGTGGGACCGACGTCGTGGCCTTGGCATCCACTCAAGCAAACTGCCAAAGTGCCGAACCGTTGAGTTCTGCGACACCCTGAGAAAAACGCATGCTCGAGCAACTGATAAAGTGCATGTATACAACCTGATCTCTGACTCGGTGAATACAGCCGGTGTGCCAGATATGGTATACCGGCCGTTCGTTGTTGAGTGGTCTACCCTAAGTGAAGCAAAATTAGTACCGCCGCTTGCCAACACGATTCGAAATAGAATCAGCCTTACCATTCCCGGCCGTGATCCGTGCTGGTTCCTGGACCCCTTAATATAGGCGTCTGGGGTTGACAGGGTCCAGCGTCTAGCTCTGCGACGGGCGAATCAGGACGCAGCCCTAATCTATCCGCAACGGCCTCCCCAGCAGCCTGAAACTGCCAAGCCCGATGGCAGGTCGTGCCGGCAGTTAGAAGTCTGCAGTGAACCGTTCGGAGCCCTAGATGTGGTTTATAAAAGGCGTGTAGGTCCTCTCAGCCATGAACTCATCACCGTCGTTTGTCTCTCCATCCAGTGCAATGCAGGTCCTTTCCCTTCTCCTGGCGGTTGGGTCCGTCAGCGCCTACACCGTCACCAACGTCGATCTGTTCATGTTCAAGAACATCGATCCTATCGTCACGCCCGGCCAGTATGTGAGCCACATGCACAGCTTCTTCGGTTCGGACGCGGTCAACGTCAACACGACGACCTCTGCTGAGCTGCGTGAGGGCTGCTCCACGGCTAAGAACCCCAACGATTTCTCCGTCTACTGTATGTGCCCTCCGGTTGCCTAAATTTATAACTGTCAGCCGCTAACGAAATCACAGGGGTCCCTACCCTTTACCTCGTCGACAAGGACGCAGCCGATGGCCAAACCCACACCCCCATCACCCCCATGCGCTTCAGCGCCTACTACGAACTCCTGAACGAGGCCGAGATCCCTATCCCAGAGGACTTCCAGATCGTTATTGGAAACGCCTCCGCCACCGGTCCGGAGGGCCTCAATGAGGATGCCAATGTAAGCTGGGCCTGCGAGGGCGACGAAACCGAGGAAGGGAAGGAACTTGCTGCCTTCCCGACAAAGACCTGCTCAACGCACCTGCAGACCCTGCTTTGGTTCCCGGACTGCATCAACCCGGACACCTACGAGACCGGGTACTCCAAGAACCCGAAGGCGTTCGAGGGATACGGCGACAACTGGTGTCCCACTGGTATGAAGAAGTTCCCTCGCCTGCGCTTTTCAATCCGCTATGATCTGAGGAAGATTCTGCCGGATGGATGGGAGGGAGAGCCGCCTCTCGAGCTTGCTTGTGGCAGCTCGTACTGCAGCCACGGCGACTTTATCAACGGCTGGTTGCCTGAAGCTCTGGAGTACATGTTGAACGATCCTTCCAAGAGGGAGTACTTCCAGGTCGTGGGGCCTCTGGGTGCGGGTGATCAGGGCACCGCGTGTACGAGCACGGCCGAGGACAGTGACCCGGACCATGGAACCAGCGACTATGAGGAGAGCTTGAAGATGATGCAGACGGCGACTGGCATTGAGGTGGAGGAGAAGCAGGTCGACACGGAGGAGACTGCTGTGGAGGGCACCTGCAAGGTGAAGAAGGTTCGAAGGCACCAACCGCATTCGGCTCACCACCGGGCTTAGACAGGTCAACTATCCAATTGATCCATGTACAATAGATTCCAATCATATCATGATCGAGAGTCGCTAATATCAATACGAATTCTAATTGTGGAACCAAAGGAATGAAGCGCGCTTACCGGTAGGCTATGATCGATCAACAGACGATTCTGTGGCTGCATCAAAGCACTCTATAAACACTGCACCACCAGGATGCGAGGCTCAGCAAAGTTAAAGAAGCGCCTACTATTTATACTCAGCGTAGGTAGACCAATGATTTCTTCTTGGCGGTCGGTGTTCGGCGCGTAGCGAACACCTCAGGTATGCGCCGCATCCAACGAGAAAGAATCGAAGACCAGCGATTGCGTCCCTCTGGCATTATATAAAGACGACGTTTTCTATCAAACCTGAGAAGTTGGCCATCATCCCTTCTGCGCCAAATTGCCAAAATGTTCTCGCCACCCCGCCCTTCAAGCCGAGCAGAGTTCAGAGTCGCGATCCTCTGCCCCCTCAATCTTGAAGCAGAAGTCGTGAAACCGCTTTTCGATATGACCTACAGCGAAGTACATCATCCTGAGCTTTCCAGAATTCGCGGCGACCCCAATTCGTACACGCTCGGAAAAATCGGCTTGTACAACGTAGTCTTGGTCTACATGGCTAGTGCTGGAAAAGCGACCGCGTCCGCCGCAGCGGCTTATATGAAACGAAGCTACCCCGGAATCCAGCTCGCATTTCTAATTGGAATCTGCGGGGGCGTGCCATTTATTGACAAATCGCTGGCAACCCGTGGTAAGACCGATATTCACCTTGGCGATGTCATTATTAGCACAGGGGTCGTGCAATATGACCTCGGCAGGGCATTGCCCCAAGGTTTCGTTCGCAAAGATACGCTGGAAGCGAACCTCGGAAGGCCAAGCCCTGAGATACGGTCATTCGTGGCGAAAATGAAGGCCTGGCACACCAGCCTTGGGGACCGACAGTCCCATTATCTGGCAAAAATTCAACAACATGTGCAAGCTCAGTGTCCTGGTGCTCAGAATGACGTTGTTTATTCCCAGAACTACGACCACAAAGATCAAAATTGCCAGTGTGACCTGGGTCTAGGATTGGATCAGACTGTGGTTGCTCGCCAGCGGAAGTCTGCTGTCACACCCTATGTGCACTTCGGCTTGCTTGCGTCAGGAGACAGTGTGATGATGTCTGGCAAGGTACGCGATGTTATCGCAAAGGAACACGGCGTGATAGGGTTCGAGATGGAAGGGGCCGGTGTATGGGATAGTTTTCCTTGTATCCTGGTGAAGGCAGTGAGTGACTATTCTGATAGCCACAAGAACAAGGAATGGCAATACTTCGCAGCGGCAAGTGCAGCAGCCTGCATGCGAGCACTTCTTGATGAGGCGCCGATTTCGCTTGAAGGTTGAGTGACGTGATGAAATCAGTGTATGTAGATAGGTCGTCAGATTGTTAGCGGGATGTTTTCGTGTCTGATATTGAATGTTTTATCGCGTTTTGCAGCGACCCATTGTAGGTAGCCCTTTGACGGCAATTATTTCCACGAATATCGTGACGGCTTTTGGCACAACGACGACAGATTCTTGACGGTTTGGTGTTGAAGGAGCCGAGTGGACGAAGCTTCGCTTAAGGAGTCCATGATGGACCAAACATTCGTTCAAATATGATACATCTACGTCCATGCCACGGGCTTGCGAGCCCAACTCGTATAGCGAAATGGTCGAGATGCGAGTCCCTGCTTCATTCAAATGACTTTGGTCCTTGGAGTTAGAGGTTTGCGGACTTCTCCACTGTTAGTAGGAATTGGAACTAGACCCCCAAGAAAATATCATTATTGGAGGATCTTTGCAGCCGTCGCGAAACATACCGACGAACCGTCCACACCGGCAATCACACCCCACACGTTCACCCCGAATTGCCGTGGGGATCCAAACTGACAGTGGCGCACTGACGGATACGACTCACCGAGGGGTTGGGGAGGTTGAGAAACGATGGATCCAAAAACAGCGCCCGGTAAACTCATGTCACGTGCACCCGCGCCCATCATCTCCCGCGGGGCTTAAAGTTGCGATACGACGCCGGCCTCTTCTCGTCACAATGCTGCGCCGCTTAACCACCCGCTTCCCCCTCCGTCCGCTGCAGACTGCCGCCCTCCGCCCTCAATTCCTTGCAACCGCCCCATACTGCACACACCCTACGCCCAAGATGCCTGACACCACCGACCCCAAGGCTGTCTCCCGCTACCTGGAGCAGACGCACGAGAAGATCTTCGAGAGCAACCGCGCCTGGGTTGCTGCGAAGAAGGATGCCGACCCGGAGTTCTTCGACAAGCTTGCTGCTGGGCAGGCTCCTGAGTACCTGTGCGTTTATTCTTCACTTGTCCTATTGGAAATCTAGCTGACCTTGCTGTGACTAGGTACATCGGCTGCTCTGACAGCCGCGTCCCCGCGAACGAGATCATGGGCCTCGACGCCGGCGAGGTCTTCGTGCACCGGAACATCGCGAACGTCGTCCCCACCATCGACCTGAGCGCCATGTCCGTCATCAACTACGCCGTCCGCCACCTGAAGGTCAAGCACATCGTCGTCTGCGGGCACTACAACTGCGGCGGTGTCAAGGCCGCGCTTACCCCCACCGATCTGGGCATCTTGAACCCCTGGCTCCGCAACATTCGTGATGTCTACCGGCTACACGAGAAGGAGCTGGATGCGATTGAGAACGATGAGGAGCGATTCAACCGCCTTGTTGAGCTGAACGTTGTGGAGTCGTGCCGCAGCGTCATCAAGACTGCCGTTGTGCAGCAGAGCTACGAGGAGAACAGCTTCCCCATTGTTCACGGTTGGGTTTTCAACCTCAAGGACGGTCTGCTTAAGGATCTGAAGATCGATTTCCCGGGCATGTTGGCGGATATTCAGAAGATCTACAACCTTACCAAGGGTTGATTTGTCTCGGGGCGATGGTTTAGTTGGTGTTCTGGTTACGGAGTAGAGGGCGGGGTTATAAGTTTCAACACGCAGAGCGCTTGATGTCTTGCATAGTAAAATTTATCGAATTTAATTCTGTTATATTCTTCACACTTTGCGAAAGTCCCGGGAATGCTTTGGAAGGGAAAAGATGTTTTCGGCGATCTGCAGCCCGTTATCGTGATTTGGAATGCGACGGCCTCAACGAGGTCAGTCTTGCCATGGTTTTTCTAGCCGTCCCGGCATTATCGCGAGTCTATTTCTCGGCGATAATATAAAATCTCATTGTAATTGGATGCAGTGAACTCCTTATGCACGTCTTCGCCGAAAATAATATGAGCGATGACGATGCGCTCCCAACAATCTCCATAGAACCGGTCGTCTATCCCACCAATCAGCAGGAAAACTACCGCTTGTAGTTAAGCTTATTTTAAACCCGGATTCTAGAGCCCGCCGCTCAAAGTAGTTTAGTCCATTTCCTCGAGGTCCCGAGGTGCGCATGGGCCATGGGCCATGGCTGCAACTTTGTTGAGTATAGTTTGCGCCGTCAAAATATCTAAGCCTCATAGAACAGTGAACACTTGCATAACCATTGCCTTGCTACTCAGCGCATTGCTGTTAATAAGACTTGTGCAATCCTGTACCCATAGGCGCCGGGTACCAAAGTGCTACTAATCGCATTGCATTACTGTTTCCTCCGCGCATAATATATATTTCTGTACGCAGCGATGCGGAAAGTAACTAGGGCAGAGGCTGTTCGCATATACCGCTAGGCCATAACAGCCAATTGGCTATAGGCCCGTCCTTATACTTCAACAGAGGCGTAAGTAGTAAGAACATCGTGTTCAAACAAAATCCTTTGCTTTGCCAAAATAATTTAATACTTTCGAGGCCTCAGTCCGTGGAATATATTGTGCTTCTGAGTTATTGTGTTATGAGGTGCCGGAGACAGTACCCTAGTAGCATAGTCTCAATGTCAGTGGCAGCCATGCAATACCTAGTCTCACCGCATCACACCTTCGGCAGAATGATATGGAGTATACCGTGCTATCCAGGGTTGACATCTACCCCGCAAACTGTTCTCTTACAACCGATAGCCGGACAGTACCTAGTATATGGTTGGCATCGAGACGCTCTATTTCCTTCCTTTGCCGTCATCAGCCCCTTCTTGGATGAGATTTTATAAGGCCCTTTGAATACCGTGCAAAGAAAAGCTGTTAATTAAATAGATACTAAAAAATTAAATAAAAAACGCGATAATATTTAAAAGCTGGAGCTAACTAAGGTTTATATAAATAATTTAAGCTTTTAAAAATAGTAAAAATTTTAAATACTTTTACTAACACTTTATAATATTTAAAAAACTATAAATATTATAGTTATACAAGCAAGTAATTTAGTAATAAGTATTATAATATTTTAATTAAAATTATTTAAAATACTTAAGCGCTATTAAAGCGCTATAATACTTTTTTATTAAATTAAGTAATTTTTATTATTAGCTAACACGCCCCCTTAATACCTACTTACTTTTAAATTAATTAAAAATAAGGTTAGAAATATTTATTAAACCTAGTATTTTAATAAATTCTTAATATTATTATTTAATAAGCGCCTTTATAAGGCTATTTATAATTATTTAATTAATAAGGGTTTATTTAATATAAAGGTTTTTATACTAAACTTCCTGCTTAAGTTATAAATTATAAATATTAATATAATAAAGCTTTAAGCAAAGTTATATATTAATATTAATAAAAATATTAATTATTTATTTATTATTATATTAAATTAAAAGTTAATATTAAAAATTAAATTACATGGCTTTAAAAACTTTTTACTATTAATAAGTTACTTTAAAGGCCTTAGTAAAAGCAAGCAACTTTATCTTAATAATAAAAAAAGTAACTAAGTATTACTTTATAACCTTTTATTTAATTAAATTTTTATATAACTTATAAATATAGCTTATATTAAAAAATTAATTAAAATAATTTATAAATATTATATTAAAGTTGTGAGTCGCGTTTATATACTGCGGTGAGCTTAGGAGAACGTGGATTACTGTAATAGGAAAGGCGTTGTGTATTTATAGTAGGAACTAATTACTAATTTTTTTAAGTTAGAGTTTGGAGTTAAACTTAGTATTTTATATATTATATAACTAGCCGCTGCCTTAGCATGCGGCTAGTTTAGTACTAAAGTTTTTTTACCTAGTGGCCTTAGGCTACTAAATTATATTATTATAATATTATATAGTTATAATATTATAATAGTAATAATAATACTTTTTTTTTTTAAGTAATCGCGCCCTCGCGATTTATAAATTTATGTTTATATTTTATAAAACATGGTTTAAATTATAGATTTTATTAAGTATTATAAAATAAGCTATTTTTAGGTTTATAAAGTGTTATAATTTATATGTAATTTATATTTAAAGTTAAGTATAAAAAATTAATTTAATTACCTTACTTTACTTTTAAATTTAAATATAATATTACTACCTGCGGTAGCTAGGCGTAGTATTTTAGTTTTAATACTAAAGTGCCTTTGTAATCTCTTTTTTTTTTTTTTTTTTTTAATTTTTTTTATAACTTAATTAAAAATGCCTGCTATAAGTATACACCTTTTTATTATATTTTTATTACTTTTTAATTATTTAATTATATTTTTAGGGTTAAAATACCTTATATTTATTTTTTCCCGTGCTTTTTAAGTATTATATTATTTATTTTAGTAATATTAATTTTATATTAGTGTTATTAGGCCTGTATATTTTATTTTACTTTATACTTAGTTTTTATAATAAAGCTTTAAGCTTTAAATAGCTAAATCTTTTTATTTTTATGCTTTTTTTAATACCTTTAATAACTATTTATAATATATAGTTATTTTATTTTAGCTATTAATATATTGCCGTGTTAGCCTTTTATTTACTTTTTTTTTATATCTTACTATGCACTTGCTTTTTTAACTTAGCTAATAAGCTTTTTATATTTAGTTCTTATTATTTTTGCGTTTTTAAAACTATTTTTAGTAATTAAATTAAACATAGTTTACCTTTATTATAGCCTTTGTTATACCGCGTGTTTTTAACTTTATTTTTTTTTTTAAGATTTTTTATGCTTGCTTTTTACTTTATATTTTTTTTACTTTAATATTTAATATAATCTTATGTTATATTTTAAATACTATTATTAGTAATTATTTATCTTGTTATAGTATTTTATTTTATATTTTTTTATTATAGTAGTCAAGCCTTAATTTTAGCCTTTACTTTTTATTCTACCTTTAGTATATAGGATTATATTTTCCTACCCTTTACTTATATATTAATAACTACTAACATGCTAGCTATTAAAATTACTTAATTTTAATACTTACGGGCCCCTGTTACTATTATTATTATTATTACCCCTATTGCTATTCTTACCGCCCCTGCTAATAAGGCTTTTATTAATATTTTTTTCCTACCGCCCCCGGGCTTTATAGCTTTACTACTTAATTTTTATATTTTATAGTATATTATATATATTATTACCACGGGCCACTATAATAAAAATATATTTATTATTAATATTATAATAAAAGCCCTTACCTATAACCGCGTGGGGGGTGGGAAGTGCTAATTTTATTATAATATAAAAAAGGTGCTTTTAAAGTGTATAGCTATTAATATTACCCTAGTAGGTAACTAGCTATAAGATATTCTTAATATTATTAATACTATGTATATAGAAGCTAATAATCCGCAAGCTTATAAAAACCTTACTACCTTAAGGGTGGCTTATTAAATATTTAAAATAGCTATTAAGTAAACCACCATGGCTAATAATATATAAGTAGCTAATTTTATAAATATTATTATATTTATATTTAATTTTATTTTGCAGGTTAGTACCCCCCTTAATAAAAATAATAATTTACTATGTAAGTTAGTCCCCTTTTTATAATATTACCATGTTTTAGTTTACTAATTTATTATAATAATTTCCTTTTTAGTTTTTAAACCTTTATTTAGCACTACTTTAGTAGCTATAATTTTTTTTTATATAGGTGTGGCTTTAGCCACTAAGTGTATATTTATATATTTTAGTTTATATTATATTATATTACTAATTTTTTTATAAACTTTTATTACTTTTAGTATAGGGTTTACTACGCCTTAATACTTTTAAAAATTTTTATTAGGGTTGCTTTTATATTAGGTATTGGTATTAGCGCCCTTGTGGGCTTGGTTCTTATTTTATATATATTAAGTACTACGCGCCGCGTGGCTTAGCCGCTTATTTAAGTTTTTTTTTATTATTTTTTATTTTGTTTTATGTTTTTGTTTTTTTTTTTTTTTTTTATTAAAAGGCCCTGCGGGCGCTGCTAATTAGCAGAAATAATATATTTTCTTTTTTTTTTATAAATGCGCGTAGATTATAAACGTAGATATTTATATTTAATGTTTTTTTGCTTTACGCAATTTATTCTTGTAAGTTTTCTTAAAATCTTTAAGTGCTATAGTTTTAGTTATATAAGTTTTTAATTTTTATATATTATTTTTTGCGTTATTTTATCCCTGCTATTTTATAAGATATTACACCTTGCCCTTAAATTTATAAATATTAAAAATTTTTTTAATAAAGTATTTTTTTTTATTATTTACTAATATAGGGCTAATATTTAGCGCTTGGGATAAGTTATTATAGTAAGGTTTTAAAAATATAATATAAAAAATATTATATAGTTATTATATATTTAGTAGGAGCAGTAGCTTATAAGACTATTTTTTTTATTTTATAATTATTAAAAATAGGTTAATAAGTATCTTACTTAATTTATAATTTAGTTTTATTAACTTAATATTTTTTATGCAAAGTATAACATGGTTATTAATTTTAAAGCTTATTTTCTTGCGCTTTTTGTTATATTAAACTACTATAGCTTTTTTTAACTTTTATAATTACTTTTTTAAATTCGCGCGGATT